ATTGCGCTTGACAGGCAAAATGTCGGTAGCGGCCTCCACCCAGCCAGTCACTTTCAACATCATTCCCTGTTTGTGGAGCATAAAGACCCACGCCCATCCCCTTCTGGCACAGCACGTTGTGATGAGGTTAGCCAACTGGATGCATCCAATCACCTCTTGGTATCGACCTGACGCATAGCCGTACAGCGGGATGGGCTAGGGTGTTCTGAATCCATCATGTGTAGCCAAACAGTGGTAACCGCCTTTCAGTAATTACAATGTTAAAAGTGTCTTGTTTAAATAACCACTTTTATCTTGATTTGACGCTTTTGTGACTGCAGGAATCCATACTCTTTGGTTCTTTCGGTAAAGTCACGTCGGTATAAAATAAAATAAATAACTTTTACATGAACTTGACTCTATTTGCAGCTGCCACGTATTTAAGTGTCTGATCCCTTTATCTAACTCATTTGTATATTCCTTATGGGGTTTAATCAGAGGTACAGCAGAGAGTGCATTTATCATCAACCAGCCACGGATCTATCGAAATTGATTAATAGGATTTTGCCAGATTGTCCTGGGCACTGTTCAAACCGATCAACGTGCGTTTTGGACATGCCCTGATACCCAGGGTTTCCTCTCAACAATAATATCTCAATTCATAGGATAAACCACACCACGCTCTGACCAATAAAACAATCATCACTGCTGAATAATATAACTGAACAATATGACAGGACACCAGAACATATTCCTTGAAATGTTTAATAATGAGAGAAAAAACAACATCCTGAACATTTGGAAGGAACACGAACCCCCATCCTCAAAGCATTGGTAAATACACTTTATCAAATGGCATCACTAGAACACATGGGGTGTAAGCTGAGAAAAAAAACCCATAGAATGCCATAAAATGTGGTCCATTCCTAGCCTCTAAACTAAACTATGAACTCTTTTTTTTATTTGACCAGGTAAGACACACTGAGCTATATAGCTCTTTTTCAGATGTAACCTGGCCACAAATTATATCTCGACGAAGTGGCTTATCAAGTGGAAATCTATTGCAGCCAAATACTCTGAACGCATGTTGATTCTAAATGCGGAGGGGAAAACCGGAGGACCCAAAGGAAAATCCACGCGACCACGGGGAGAGAGAACACGCAGACTCCAAATATACAGCAGGGTCGGGATTGAACCCACCACCTCCTGCACACCAGTAGAGGATGTTAACATCTCACCAGAACCCCTTCACTGAAATAGAACTCTACGCCCCCCCCCCCCCTCCGATACAAAATCTAGACATATAGGAGATGTGAAAATATATAGGCAGATGTATTCTCAGAGCGCTTGCCACCACCTTGTTTTATCTACCCCCAATTTGTCTACGCGTGATTTGTAAAAAAAAAAACCTCAGACATGACACCTCTAAAACGAACTCCTAAATATCGTAAGAGCCAGTCAGCGTGTTCATTGGTTCGGATTTGTTATAGACACAATTGAAAATAACATTTTGAAAAAAATATAGGAAACTTTTTGGACGGAAGCATCTAGAAAACAGGTAAATTTGTGTATCGAGAAAGGTATACTGTAGGCGGCAGATGTTGATGGGGACGGCACGGAACCATGCGACAAAATAATGCATTCCAGTATCATACCTCTCAACCCATACGGTTTACCCGTATTCCTGTAAAGGGAAATTGAGTTTTTAGGTCCATACGACGTACAGCCGTTTCAACAGGGACAACAAAAATAGTTTTTGTCTGTTTCTGTTTCTCCCTTGTGATGGGAGTTTGTAGGATGAACGTCGAAATTTATATGGGCATGGGGTGACCAATAAGGTCTAAATGGTTCTGAAATAAGGTAGGCACTGATAAGGCTATACAGTATACAGCACCCAGAGAGTGAATACATAAAGTGTGAATTAACAAAGGATTAAAACGTGCAAGCGCCACAGAGTACAACGGGGTCCGTGTCACATTCTATCAATTCTCGCGCGAGTTACCAGACTGTCACTTTTCTCACCGCAGCCACTTTGCCACCGACAGCCAAAACCTCACGCCCCCTTGCGGCCACTCTCACGCATTGCCACCCGTCACCTGCCAGCACGTCCCAGAAACGTGGTCAAAGGTGCAGCCCTGCAATTCCTCGCTTCACGTCACTACTGGCTGAAGGGCCTCCGCAGCGAGACGTGGAACTCGTCGAGAGCCACCCTCCGAATGGTGTATTCGGCCTGCTCTTCCTTTCACGCTGGCCAGACTTCTTGGAAGGGACGTGGGGGTTACCTCCACTTTAACCCCACCGTAAGCAACCCGGCTTGCTTGCTGATCATTCGGAGTCGTCGTACACAATAATGCTGCGCGGTGGCCAAACGTAGTAAGGGGAAGGAAGATTCAAGAAACTTGCACCATTGTTTAAAATGCCGCGCCGAGGGATCGAACTGGCGACTTCCTGTGGATTACAATCCCAGGTGCGCTGCTCACATCCACGGTCGAAGCATTACATCCGCCCCCTCCGAAGACGTGGGAACCAAACAAGACCCGCAACTCCGCTTGTCTTTGCGTGGCTCATCTGAAGTGTCTCCCCGTCATCTTACAATTGTGTGGGGGGGGGGGGGGGCGGCGGTCGTCAAGACCCTGTCAGATTCCGCCTACCCCCCCCCGTCACGGACCCCTACGAACCCCTGTGAACCGGGGTACCCCCCCCCCCCTCACGGACCCCTACGAACCCCTGTGAACCGGGGTACCCCCCCCACAACCTCTCTCCTACCGCCTCGTGCGCTCGCCCCCTCACTCGCCCCGCCCACCCCGGGGTCACGGTCGCCTGGCGTGGCGCTCGAGCCCGACGAGTCCAGCTGATTGGCTGCCCGGCACAGTCACATGATGGCGTGACAGCGCCTCCAACCAATGCACTGCGGCTTGCCAGAAGGACCCCGCGATATACACGGCGGTGGTGGTGGTGATGGTAGTGGTGGTGGTGAGAAGGGGGTGGCGATGATGGTAGTGGTGGTGGTGTTGGTAGTGGTGGTGATGATGGTGGTGGTGATGAGGGGGGTAGTGATGATGGTGGTGATGAGAAAGGGGGTGGTGGTGGTGATGGTGATGATGGTGGTGATGATGGTGGTGGCGATGATGGTGATGATGATAAGGGGGTGGCGATGATGATAGTGATGATGGTGGTGATGATGGTGGTGATGGTGGTGGTGATGATGGTGATGGTGATGATGGTGGTGGCGATGATGGTGATGATGATGGTGGTGGTGGTGATGATGATGGTGGTGGTGGTGATGGTGGTGATGATGAGAAGGGGATGGTGGTGGTCTAAGCCGCTCAACTGCGTCGCGCCACTACGGGCCGACGACGCCAGTGACGAATTGTCCAAAACCGGCCCCGGGACCACCCCTAGGTCGACTCAGCCGCGAATGTGTAACCTGGTGCGGTGTGTATTGTTAAACGTCGCCACTCGGAGAGACAAAGGCGTGGTGCCGTCCACCACTTCCCCTCGTGTGCCAACGGTGTCGGCCTTCATGGATGCCACTCGCAAACAACACGTGGCCCAACCAGTCTGTTCAGGATATAGGGCAAGGGAATCTTTGACGATGGCAGGGGCTGTGTTGTCTGCCTACGACTACTTCTCCAAAGTGCAATAACGCTAACATGCACCAAGACTCCTGCTTGAACTTGTTAAAGTAGACAACATTGACAACTACTCAAGAGCACTGGTAATGCAATGCTGCTGATACTACAGCATTGTATGGTGGTACCTAGTGTGTGGGTGGGTGGTATACTGCGCATGGACTAATTTAATTGTCATGTAACGTTGACACAAGGGTTGCAACCACACGTCAACTTTGAGAACGTTAGTATATTTACTGAATGCATCAATAGTACAAATGCATGCGCAGTACTGTGTATAATGTAACAACTGCTGTACTTTTACATTGGTGGTAACAAGTAACTTGCGGTACATTGCATGCTGTACGAATAGCGATGGCAAGTAGTAAAATAGTAATGCTTTGCACATGTACTGACATTTAACACGTGAATATAACATGCGCACTCGTGGGAATACAATACAACTCTTGTCGCGCATGCGTTTATATTGTATTTACAAATGGTAATAAAACACGCTCATACTATTACACGCTGCTGAAAAATACACGTCACTCCAAATTGGTGCAGTGTAAATGCTTATTATATAACTCGCATCGTGCTCTACAGTGATTCTACAGCTGCACTTGTGTTCCCAAGATGTATAATACCCTTAAGAATATAAGCAGAGAACACACACACGCACGTGTATATATACCAGGGACTGGCGTAAGTGTTTTGCTTTGTGTATTTTATATACAGTAGACCAACATACCCTCTAGGCACTCTCTCTAGCGCTCCCTCTAGCAGGGGTCACTTCCACCAGCAGTGGCGTGAGCCAGCACTTGCAGGGCTGCGCCTTTATTCCGCAGTACGGTCCCATCATATAGAGCTGGTATCGTCAGTGTGAATGTTGTGGATTTGCTCTCCAACACACCAGGCGTGCTGCTGTACTAGTAACGAATTGGCACGTTCTGTTTACGTGACAAACCTCACCACGAATTGGCTGTGTCGGGTGGTGGCGGGTTTAACGACACATTTACGTGATCTAACCGGAAGAAAAAAAACCCTCTATTATGGTCGCATCGTCATGTCGAACTGAGTTTTTGATATACATATTAAAACTGTACAACATTATGTTCGCACATCGAAATCTTTATATATTTTTCACAGCATGGTGTGTAACACAACACACACGTGTAATTGTAACACCACCACGTGTGTGTTGTGTGCAACACCGGTTTCCCTAATACAGTGCCAGCAACGTGTTTCTACAGTCCGCAACCACGTGCGCGGGGTCCGGTTTCCCGCCACACCCCACGCGTGACGCCTGCTGCTCACCACCACCACCACCAACCCCCCGTTCAGTGAAAGCGCTGATCCCCCTGCATAGGCGACGTGCATACTCTGCCTCCGCCTAGCAAGGAACCGTCCCTCTACCGTCCACACCAACGTTGTGATCCCTGCTTCCTACCCCGCACGCCCCACGGTGTGGTGATCCCCGCTCCCCTCTTGTGAACCCTGCTGCTGCTGCTCCCCCCCGACTCCTCCTCGGCACGTGCCAACTCGGATCCCCTCGTCGCCCCCAAGCCCCGCGTGCAACGCAGCAACCCCTCACCACAACACCTTCATCTCTTAACTCCCCTCTGTAGCCCCACGTGTGAAAACCCAGTCACCCTCTGGCCCTTATTACATCGATAATACCCCACGTGCATTCCAGCTCCCCTTGTCCCCTCTATAGCCCACGTGCAATACACGTCCTATAACAGCCCGCATTCAATCTGTATGCCACACCTACGCCTCCCCACAGCCCCTATCTCCTCTCTATAACGGGTGTAAACCAGCTCCCCCTATCCCCTTCTAAACCACGCGTCTATCCCAGCTCCCATCTGCACCCCACGAGCCTCCACAGCCCTTACCCCCTCTCTACACCACGTACCACGTGTATCCCAGCTCCCCTTATCCCCTCCACACCCCATGTGTAAACCCAGGTCCCCCACAGCCCTTACCCCCTCTCTTCACCACGTGTAAACCAGCTCCCCTTATCCCCTCCACACCCCACGTGTAAACCACCTCGACTTATCCCCTTCTAAACCCCACGTGTAAACCCAGGTCCCCCACAGCCCTTACCCCCTCTCTACACCACGCGTATCCGAGGTCCCATTGCCTCCCTCCCGTTGTAAGAGGCGGGACCCCGGGGTTACTGCAGGGCACTCTCTACCCCCGGCTCCATCCTCTCCCCCGCGTCACACAGCACAGGCGGCGGCGGCGGGCGGAGGCAGCTACCGGACAAATCTCCATCACCTCCTCCCCATCACCTCCTCCCCATCATCATCACCGCCACCACCACCAAGCCTCCTCATCCTCTAAGAAGCTCCTCCTCAAACGGTTCCAGCCATCATCACCCATCACTGTCGGCATCTTCCTCCTCGGCTCCGTCTCGTTCATCTGGGAATCGTCTTCTTCTGGTGAGAGCGCCACCAGCAAACCCACCAAATTAGCTTTTTTTGTTTGCTTGCTTGAGCGAGATTAAATGTTTCAATTAATTCAGTATTGTTGTAGTGGCGCGTGAATTAAATATATATACACTGTAGCAAGCCGTTATATCAGCGTGCGTGTAGTATTGCTGATATCGTAATAAATCGTGATAATTTACGACGTTATAACAGAACAGCGATTACTTGGATTCACGTGGCCGTCATAAATCATCACCACCACCTTTAACCGAGCGAGCCTTAATCCCCTTTTTACATCACAACACGGTAACTACGGTCGTGGATAATCAACGTAATTGGATAATAATTTAGTTAATTACCGAAATAGATGATGTGTCATTATTTACTCATCAAACAAAAGCCAATTAGTACATTTACAAACATACAACACTCCCCCCCCCCCAAAAAAAACCTCTGACATTCCACCGGGTGTGTTGTAGACTGTAGGTGGTTGAGGACTGTAGTTTTTTTGCGTGTGTTAGCAATGCCCACGTGTGTTGTTTGTATGGTGTAAACCCGTGCTCAAGAGCAGTTTCATCCGCTTTCCATCACCACCAGCTGGCACTGCATTTGAAGGTCGAGGCAAAATGCCGTACACACACACAATGTTGCGTTTCTATAATTATTTTGATTTTCCCAAGCAACCGACTCGCCACACGTCAATTCTGTATGACACGTGTTGCACCGTGCTTATATGCACCCAGCCCGTGGTGAAGTATGGTCAAATAAGGAGGCAGCTTCATCCAGCAGTGGATTGACCAAGGGCCTGAAACACGTGCAAATATGCACACACACTGCAAAGTGTCCACGGTGAAAGGTAAAGACGCAGCCCTGCAATTGCCTGCTCACGCCAATGCTGGCGGAAGGGCCTTTAACTTCTCGAGGGAGGTCTCGACTCTAGCGAATTCCGACAGAGGTCATTTGGCCTCTCTTCAACACTGGCCAGAAGTCTTGAAAGAGGTGGGAGTACTCACACTTTACCCCACCACATGCAAACCTGCCCATTGAACTTGACCGTGGCAGTGTGGTGCGCCCATTTATACTGCTTTTGCTAAAGCACCACACTGCATTGAAGTGCTTTACAGTTTTTACTGCAAAATAATGGTACAGTACTGTGTTGAAGGGTACATCAATATGTATTCTGCCAGTGGGATGATGGTGGGATTGAATGACATTTTTTCTACTTTGAAATGACTGCATTGTGTCATGGAATATGCTCTCTGTTAGATATCATGAATCAAGGGAAAAATGTAAAATGTGTTGTAAGAATCAAAACACTCTCCAGCTTACATTTTAAAAATCGAGTGAATGTTTTGCAAATGGGAGGAAGAGAGGTATGTATTCCTCATGCTTTCTCTGGAGATGCTCTTGCTGATGCTGAACTGCGTTGCGAGCCAGAGTCTTTGTGCATTTCTCCATGCTTATTGCCTCTTAAGGACATATTACCTAATAGCCTGCAATGCGCCTCACGGTAACCTAGGTAGCATTACCACTGCAAGGTTGAATAACGCAGCCTAAGTACAAGTACAAATATTTCCTTTTCTCCCATTGAGATCAATATCAATTCAGGGAAATCTTCACTCAAGATGTTATTTCGTGACTGGCCACAGGTCCTCAACGTATTTATATACAAGCCAGTATGCTACCGTACGATGTAACCTTTCAGAGTTGTAATTCTATCATGGTATATAAATTTGTCAAAAATAAATATATGTACATCAAATTTGGTTAATGGCATCATTACAACTGTGGGCTTGGGAAGGACACGAATAGTGGCGACCGAGCAACGTCTAATTGAGGAGGTGGGTGGCGCTCTAAATCGGATTGTGCGCAGCTGCTAAGTGGATTATATCTCAGAATCGAGATGGGATTGGGACAGCTTGAGGTGGCCTTCATCCAGCAGTGGATTAAACATGGGTGATGATGGTTGTGGTGGTGGTGGTGACATGCAATTTACCGTCGCAGAGTTAAGTCACATGTAATGTGACACACTCGTACAATCCCGCGACACGACCTGGCTATCTGTGCTGGCTCATTTGTGGTGTTTCGTGCGTGGGCATATTTTGAACTCATCGCAGATGTAGCTCATGAGGGAGAGCATGTGGCTTGGGGATTATTAAATATTTTCCAAGAGATGGCATTGCTCCCAATTATTTTACAGTACGGTTGGCTGCACCCCAGTGTATACTGCCTTTTTAAAAGGCGAGGTGTTATATTCAGGTGTCGGCAATTAATTACATCGATCACATGAGACTGGCATAACTTGTGCAGTATTATACAAGTTGTAACCTGCGTTTGTCAGTCCACTGCTAGATGAGGGCCTCCCTATGCCTTGTGGACCGTGAGGGTAATTTGACCTTCCATAATCACTCTGCTCAGTGCAGGTCTGTGAAGTTTTAGGGGGAGTGCAGAACGAGAGTGGATTTTTCCTGCCCAGCCCTCTACGACCCACGTGCATGGTTGTCACCCATCCAAGCATTGTCCAGACTCAACCATGCTTAGCTTCCAAGATATGAGAAAATTGGGGAGTATATTGTGTCTGATTTGCTCATAGGCACGATCGTACTGTATGCTTGTTTGAGCATTACATTAAATTCGCTCCAATCAAACACATCTTTTTTTCTTGATTGTGGTATGGACCGCACCTAATTGTAAGCGCGTGCTAGCATTGGCTTTGGCTTTCACAAGAGTGAGTGGTGGCGGCTGCAGTCATCTGATACACATTGACAACTTTGCCACAACATATGCGGCCAAGACAAGCACACGCTGCATGTTGAAGCGAACATGGCATAACTCAACTTCATCAGCATAACATTAAGCAAAGTTGGTGCTTATGAGTGGTTGGCCTGTACAAACAGTTTTGCGAGCGTGGACATGTATGTCTTTTTTTAAGTAACAACGCGCGTGCCTCCGATTGGTCAGTGGCAGAATGGGTGGGGAAGGGTTGTCCCCAACTATGTGGGGCAGAGGTCATTTGAAGGCATTTCAGAAGTAGTTCTCAATTTTCCGCTTCGATGGACCATTATTAAAACGACACGAAGGGTTGCACTGCTCTTCCACAGCTCTTTCACAGTTCCGAATGTCTGCTTTTGTCTTATGATATTACACCGTTAGCAAAATCATGACAAGTTTCGAGGAAAAGACAAATACAAAGCAAGTAATGTGCCTTCTTGAATCAAGTCCACTCCAACGTTGGGGCTGGCCAATAATTTTGTGTACAGTACTGTAGGCTAAAGGGCAAACAATCACAGAATTCCTTTATAAAAACGGCATTTAATACATTCTATTTTTACCTTGCAGATATCAAAACAATAACAGAGCTGAATGTTTGGCGAAGATGGATCACTGTACTGTGATTAAAATTAGGTGAATTTATGACCAGTCTCTTGATTACCCACTTGACAGCTCCTAGCTTAACATAATGCATCTAGAAGTATATCAGTCACGGGACAACATTGGTTTAATGGATGACAGCATGTAGATCTCGTCTGATGAACACTGACACGTTACGAAGTTTGTCTGTGTTCTGGCCATGACATCGTGCTCGATGGGTGTGCACGGAGTGTGCCAATTCTACAGTGATGCGCTTATGCTTACTGAATGTGTTGTGTGTTGTAGGCTGAAGGAACAATGGAGGCACTGGACACAGCACTGACAAAGATGTTGGACGACAAAATCGGACCACGCGGTGAGGCTTAATTCGTTTGCTGTCTCCAGCAACATGCTACAAAACGCTGGGTTTATCAGCGTGTCAAAACCATTGCCCCAAGCCATTACCTGGAATCGTGTTTGGTTTCTGAAGGACGTTTACATGATTTTCCAACTTTGAATTGCTCTGCGCTTGCCGTTTAAATCTTCTCAACAGGGTGCCCTGGGGATTAGGTCTCTAAATTGCCACTGAACATACCAACACGTTCATTATCCCAAAGAGAACCAATCCATCCACTTATTTCATAAAGTTATTAACATAAATGTATGAATATGATTTATTCCATTAGCATGGTCATCAAAGCCAATAAACTTCCAGGCATGTGCCAATCATCCCCCACACAAGCACACTGTCTTCTGCTGGAACTAGGGTTCCCGTGATATAATTTTCGAAATCACGACATTAAATCCGATATTAAATTTCACAATACGACGAATCCTGTGATATAAGCTTTCCATAACTTTTAAATTGTATTTCCCATTTTTATTGTATTGAGTTTGTACTTGGCAGTGCTTCCAATGCAAATAGAGATTAAAAGATCTTCAATTCCCTTTTACTCAATATATGTCTGGCTCCGGGTTTCTTATCATTGCCGCTTTACAATCTCTAACATTTACAGTGCACACGATATCATAAACGGTGACGTCATATCACCACCATACTTTCCTTTATCCAGAAAACTTTTACAAAGCACTAATTTAATGGGAGACAGCTACCTGTTTTACTTGAATTATTGTCAATGGTAATGGTTGTTATTTCACAGATATTTAGTCAGGATATAAAATCTACATTTCAGAAAATGAACAACAATAATCACGATATGACAATCTCGTGCCAAAGGGACGATGCACGATTTTGCGTGGACTTCATGTCGTACGGCGTATCGTAGCGCTCCATCGCCATATTGCGGCAACCTTAACTGGAACCAAATTTGTGTAATGAGGGGGACTACTCCTTCTCCTGCTAATAACCCCCACCCCCCCGGTATGCGGGAAACAGACCCGCGCATCCGTGGGTGGCTGCTGCTGGATTCATACCTGCCCACGCTGGTGTCCACGCTGGTGTACCTGCTGGTGGTGGCGGTGGGGCCCAAGCTGATGCGTGAGCGCCAGCCGTTTTCGCTTAAGGGGCTGCTGGTCGTCTACAATGCGCTGCTCACTGCCCTCTCCTTCTACATGTTCTATGAGGTATGTCTCGCTCTGAAGGTCCATCCAAAAACGTCACGTTTTAATATTGTCAATTTTAACATTTCAGGTGATTGCATATCAGGTGTCTTTAAAAAGAGAATGACTGCGTTATGATGGTAACATAAATACTCTTGTATCAGTTGTAAAACAATAAAAGAAAAGGCTTATTATTGAAATAATTAAATGTTATGTACTTTGACAGAAAACCAAACTGGTTAAAATTAAAAGGTGTATTGGCGTTGATGACTGTGTGACCTTTAAAAACCCTGTGGATGTTTCTGTCAAAGGACGAGAATATAGTTAAAGGTTAAGCTGTTTATTTTTCTTTTGCTCAAATGCATTAGGATTAACTCCCACGCAGAAAGTTTCACGCAAAAATTTTTAAAATCAGCCTTTGTAGGACATCACATATATAAATCCATCTGCTATCTTGAGCAAAGCATACACGTCTTTAAAAAAATGAATTGAGTAACCGTAGGTTTCAATAAATAAATAGCCAGTTTATAAATAATTGACATGTCATGAGCCCGACTTGCTGCCACAGCAAAGGTTGCCGTCACCTCGAGCCTCTGTTAACAGCTCGTCTGCGATTGGCTTCTCTTCTGTGGTCTGATTGATACAAAGTACGGTGCTGCGTGGCGATGGCATGTCTTTCAACCTTGGTCCAACAAATTAATATACCCTGTCCAATTCATTGAAAGTCAAGTCTGCCCTTTCACATAGTGGCTATCTTGGTGACATTGATGCTAAGAGCAAAGTCTTCCGACCTGGGTCACTCTGTGTCAAGTTGAGTGAACATGTCCTCACGTGCCATGTTCCATGCTGTATCTCGGATTCGCATGACAATATCGTATGTCCGGCATCCATGTAGTGAATCATTAACCGTAGGTCATTGCACCATTGGCTGAGAATTAAGCACCGCCACGTCTACAGGTCATGAGTGGTGTGATGTGTTCCAGGAAGACACTGTTCGGAGTTTAGTTTTTTTGTGTGCATCACACGTGGAGTACAAATAATGAAATGTATTGCACGACCTGCCCAGTGAGGCACATACTACAGTAACTCCATTTGTGTAGCGATATGAAACCAAAATATTAATAAATATCATAGATTACCAATGCTTTTAAATGCACTACGATTTTAATAAATCGCATTAACGGCTTTAATGACATTCCTAGGAAAGGTCACTCTGTCGTACATTAATTAATCTTTTTTGTAAACTGTTGTATTTTATTGTCCATTTAATCAACGCTTTCAGAGAACATTTAGCACCTCGCGGGATTAGGTTTGAAGGTACAATACGTGCACGGCATGTGTGTGCCTTGTGGGTTCCTAACCTGACAGATTTTGGCTGTAGCAGTCGACCAGTAACCCAGGGGGGGGGGGGTTCTGGCTACATTGTGTCTGCATGGAGTCAGGCTAATGGCATGGAGCACATAATTATTGCCAAATGAATGAGTGAATACTCTCTGTGTACTGTATATTCATATATTTTTCTCCACCAACATCGTATTGTAGCCGAGATGCATTCCTGCCTCAAAGTGCCCAGAAGTGCATGTGATTTTTTGTTTCTTGTAAATGCGTTAGAGAATTGTAAAAATTCAATGGAATTCCTTAATGTCCTCATGTTTTGATAATTTTGTAAAACGGTACAGTACTTTAAAATGTTGATTTTAAAGACGCAAGTGAAATGTGTTTATCATACCATGAAAACATATAACATTTTGTTCTTTCATTGCCTGATTCCTATCATCGAATGACATTTTAACCATTTTTGGGTGCAAAAAAATGGAACATGTACAGCCTGTTGTAAAAGCCCTGCAGGATTTGGACCTCCAACGCCTTGCAGATTGTGTTATTTGACCAAACTTCACCACGCCGGCCAGTGTGGGTTGGTAGAAATGTGGAGCATAAATATGGGAGGATAAAAGTACAGTACAACAAAGGATTTTTTTCTGCACTGCCCTCTGTTGCCACAGCGTAATGTGGAATAATAGCAAAGTCCGATTTATAATGCCCACAAAATGTGTGTGGTGAGTCGCTGACGTCTTATAGAGGCACGTAGTCACACAGCAGCCTATAGCACCTGTTGTAAGCATGCTGAGCACTCTTCCAAGCACCATCTAGGCTCAATCCTGCTTAATATCCAAGGTCTGACGGAATTTGGCGCATTCCACATGATTTGGTCATAGATGTAAGAAAATGATACATTCATTTTCACCTTGGCATGAAAAGGGGGAGTTTTTTCAACTGGCAATCAAGCCGTTCCTGAACTTCCATACCTACTCTTGCAAATGATACTCAGCCACCATATCAACATATAAATTAAACGAATGCTTCTTGGTAGCGGGATTCAAAACAATAGGTGGGGCTGCACTTGCAGTGAAGCTGTGGTGCTGCCTCGCATCGCTGGAATGCAGCTTGCAAGTTCCATGATCGTGGCTGCTCACAAGTAGTTGCTTGTTGGTGCCTCGCAGCTCGTGGCCGGCGTGTGGACAGGGGGCTACAACCTGCGCTGCCAGAACACGCACAGTGCGGGGGAAGCTGACATGAGGGTACGGCTGCTGACATTTTTTTTTTATTTTCCCCTTGTGAACACATCCACCTACAATAGAAACGTGTGTACAGAACAAGTTGACTCACCTGCTGATGTTTGGTTTGTACCCAACAGCAGTGTCGGTTAGCGAGAAGTCATTGATGGGTGTCCAGTGTAAATACTCATCTATCCCATTTCTTTTTCTCACTCTTTTTAGAGTCCTGGCTCAGACTCTTTCCTTCCTGTCCAATTTTTGTTAGATTTCTTCTTCGTCATGCTGTTATGCACCTACCCTCTCCCTCCGCCTATCAATAGTCATGCAGCATCTTGCTTTTTCTACCTCTTGGTCATTTTCCCAACATCATCTTTTTTCGACAAATAGATATCTGAATAGATAATGGGAGTTGAACAATGTGAGCTGTGAATATTGATGTACAGGTCCCCATCGGTTAAACAAGGAGTATGAAAAGTAACTGTTTTGCAGGCAAATTCAGCCAACTTGCACAGTTGGTGTATCCTTGTTACAGTTTATAACATTGTTTATAGCATCGTCATAAACACTCAAGGTATTTACAACACGATGACTATTTTAAAGTTTTACCAGTGGAAGGGGGTTGTGTACTGTGAGATAAAAATACAACCGATTGATTTTTTTTTTGTTTCTCACTGCACAGATTGCCCGTGTACTCTGGATCTACTACCTCTCCAAGCTCATTGAGTTCCTGGACACGGTGTTCTTCATTGTGCGCAAAAAGAACACCCAGGTCACAGTGCTGCATGTCTACCACCATGCCTCCATGCCCACCATCTGGTGGTTCGTCCTCAACTGGGTACCCTGCGGACACTGTAAGCCACGGATGCCTGCCACGGAGCACTTGACTGAGCGGGGTTTTTGAACTCGTGACCTTTAAATTCCACTTCTGTTTGCAATGTGAAATTCACACGAGTTATATCATTTTCAAATTGCTTGTTAAAATATAGAATTGTATTGACTCGCCCCCTGCCAAACTCTCCCCTCTCATCTCACTCTACTCCCCTCCACGCATTCTCCTACCTCTCCCCACTCAACTCAGCTCACTCTACTCCTGTCTGTGCTCTCCGTACTCGAGCAACCGAGGCTTTTTCTGTCGGAGCCCCCAGATAACCTGTCAGTGGAAGATCCCTTATTCTCCTCTGCTGCCCCCATAGTATGGAACTACTTTCCCCCAGCCATCCATGCTGTCGACTCTACCCCTGCTCAAGTGCAGGCTCAACAACTTCCTTTTTTCTTCTGCCTATAAATGGCTGCCACTTTCTTCCTATAAAATAAATATGCCCACTGTTTCTGTACCGTATCTTGAGATGCGGTCACATCTAACCGCTAAATCCAAATTACGTTGTATAATTGAATTAAACGGTACTAATGGTGACCACATTCCTTCCCAAAGAGGACAATAACCCTGCACAATTTTCTGCAAAGGTATTTTGATGTTTCAAAAAACCATGCCGTGCATTGGTGTACGTTGCAGCGTACTTTGGGGCAACGTTCAACTGTTTCATCCACGTGCTGATGTACGGATACTACGGACTCTCGGTCATCCCTGCCATGCGGCCCTACCTCTGGTGGAAGCGCTACATTACCCAGGCGCAGCTGGTATGTGTGTAGACCCGCCTAACTAAACTGCCTTAACGTGCTGTTTGCTTTGACATTCGTTTTTGTAAATATAAAACACAGGTTCTTGGAGTGGGACTTTTGGGTTAGGTCACATATTGCTCTGGCCAAAATGTTTGTCACTTGTACATGTGACATTTTCATTTGTTGGGTATGTTGAGTGGTGGAGGGTCTTTATGACTAAAATTTGGTAATATTTATGACGTGGCCTAACCCAAAAAGTAACTATCACTCGTTAATTGTTCTATTACATACTGTTAAACCCCAGCGTGAATATTGCATGCACATGTAGTTAATTTTGATTATGTAAACAATTGCTTATCCTGTGCAGTGATCCGAAGCCCTCTGCTGCACGGATGATTGGATAATAAATTATCAATGCTGCTATGTGTACTGTAAATGCGTCCTCAGTATAGAATTACATTACATAAGTTAATTAATGTGTATGCCAAATACCATGGGTGTTTAAGCATTTAATAAAGACAACCTGTATTTAAATGATGTTACCCTGTTTTTGCCATGGTGTAATGATTAGGACATTCGACTTGCAATCCAGAGGTCACTGGTTTGATTTCCTGGCATAGAAGTTAAAACAATAGTGCAAGTTTATTAAATCCTGCCCGCCTCTGTCCACCCAGCGGTATAAAAGGGGGCACCACAGTTAGTTATGGTGGGGTAATGTATGGGTTCTCCCAGCTCTTCCAAGACATCTGGCCAGGGTTGCAGAGTGGGCCAAATATCCTCCAGAGGGTCTCTGCAGAGCTCCCTTTAGTGGAGGCCTTTCTGTCAGCAGTGGAATTAGCAAGTAATTGCAGGGCTAGACCTGCAATTACCTTGAGTTTATTGATTCTTAATTTCAGATGATACTTGCTGGATTTGTATAAATATCTGTTTTGTGTTGCTCTTGGTCCCGTTTAGACACAGTTCGTGATGACAATGGTGCAGTCGGGGAGTGCCATCGTGATGCCGTGTGGGTTCCCAGCTGGCTGGCTGTGGTTCCAGATCTCCTATATGATGTCACTGGTGCTTCTGTTCTCCAACTTTTACATCCAGGTAACTTTTACTCATGGTTTGGGCTCGGGGAACGATCATCGTATTGAACAATAACAACAATAGCAAGATAAATGGGAAATATGTAGTAGCTGTGCTCAAACCCACCCTAATGTAACAGTCCTAACCCTGTCCCAGTAAATTTAATTCTCCTGAATGTCTGTCATTGAATTACTGATAATTTATTGGTTGGCTTTTGGAAGATGTACGTCTCTTTTTTTAACACACTTCCAAAGCGTAGACCCAAAGGACAAAAATGTCAAGCGGCCAGCTATAAACAGTACGATCAAAGTCGTAATAGCTAATTAACACACTTCTAGAATTGAGAAAATTGGGAAGAAGAGACTATGGGAGGGGAATGCCAAGTTGTTGCATGGTCACGAAAGGAGAGGAACTTGGCTCCTAAGATGTTCGCACAAAATGTTCCTCATTGAGAAAACACATTGTACAATCAATATCAGATAATCAGCGTTCACCATTCATGCATAATTACTTTATTTATAATACAACGGATGTATGACTTCTACAGATAATACCCGAGCACGCCGTTGCTCGCTGCAGCACTTTGAGCGGTTTACGTTGTTGAGTGGAAGCACGTCTGCCGCGCTTTGCTCACGGTTCAAGTGCCGTGGTTCCACCCTGGTTAATAGTATGGATGTACATACTAAAAATACGTTAAGTTCCCTTCACAGTGGACATTAAAGATCCTGTGACGCCCTTCGCAAGAGTAGGTAAATATGTGCCGGCGTCACGGTCAAAATAAAACAAATTACCCCCAAAATTACTTAGTCGGCATATGCACAGCAATCATTGTCCCCCTACTGTCTAAACTTGGCTGGATCTTCCTGAAAAAGATTGACGGGACTCCGTGATGACTTTTCTGGGTAAACAGTCGTAAAAATAATGATACTAATAATGCTTGGTGTTTGCTCCACAGACGTACATCAAGCAGGGCTCGCGCCCGAAGCTGGAGAGCCACGCGAACGGCAAGATGGAGCCACGGAGCTCTGGGGACCTTCACGAGAACGGCAACAGCACGCGGCAGCGCAAGCCCAAGCGCGTGTAACACAGCGACACCCCAGGCCCATTTATTGTACATGAGCCGTTGATTTAAGCCCTCAACTTGGCGTGTCAAAATTGGAAGAGAAGGAAATGCCAGTTTATTTGTAAACCTAACATTTTTCCCAATAAGTCGGTGCTCACGTCCTGTACTGATCATCAACACAAAAAGCTAACACTGCATTGATGACAAAAGTTATTATTTATGTCTGTTCCCAAGCTGCAACATTGGTATATAATGCAGCCTTCTGCAGTGTGCAAATTCGTAAAATTACACTTATCTGGGAAGATTCAAGCTGCTCTGGTTTGATTTACATTTTCATGAACTCCACGATAAATTTCTTACACTTTAAAGCGGGGCATTTAGAGACTCTCATTTTGTTGACCTTTCACAATGAGGATACACATTTCAGAGTTACTAACTTGGGAGGAAAATGCACTTCAAATCTTTACGAGCACTGTCAGAATGAAGCGTTGTAGTGAGGCGGTTTATTTTAACAAATTGGTGGCACGTCTCGCGGCTCGCCGTTTATTCAGACATCTCCTGAATAATGTAAATGCCCTCAGTGACTGCGTGCGTCATCTGCGCGCACCGTGACATGGCAACTCCTAAACGCTTGACTTCCTGGCATTCTCACAAACTTACACTGGCACAATGTTGCCACCTTTTGAAGTCATGAACATGATCCTTATCTTCGTCGCTTCAGCATAATATGAGCAAAAGGCAAATGTGCAAATGTAAACGTGTGCTGAAGTGTTTGCATAACTATGTTTAAATTTGCTTAGATTTTAAGTACAATGCAACTTAAGTATACTGCTGACAAATTTGGCGTTGCTACCTCTTGAGTCCGCAGTTATTTCGTTTTTATATGCACAGATAAAAAAGTGGCTTTCTCTAAATTAGTTTTGTTAACAATGTGCGCATTATCTTGTGGCTATAGAATAAGAAAGCCTGCCCTAGGACTAACTGCTTCGTGTATTGCCATGTAACCCTTGTAGCCTGCCTAAAGCAACTGGTAATGTGTTGGCGTGATGTTCACACCAAACTGATAAGGTTTTTTTTTAATCCACCGTGCCTGATATGGTGATTATAATCATCTGTTTACCAACGACTCCAGCTTAAAAGCACTTACCTAATGTGTAGTTTTTAGTGAAATCTTGTTTTTTTATTTGCAAAAAGGGTTATTCATTGTGTTGTCATTTTAAGACCAAGAAAGACCATTGTATAGACACACAGTATCATTGTGACGGACAGGGATATACACTTAAATTGTTGTGGATCACAAGGAAATCAGTTGTAGAATGAGCACAGCACAAAACCTGCAGCTGTTGGTTTATATTCGACTTTGTGTTTTGTAGCAAGTGGAGGTATTTGCTTCCAAACTTTGTGAAGCCTTATTTTTCGGAATATACAGAAAAGACATTGCCTTAATCTGTATAAATGCGTTTTTCACAAGTATTTTGTTCACTGACTGTTGTCACTTTGCGAAAGAGCATCACTTGTTGTACCACTAATGGCCAGCTTCTAAGGGACACTTTAAACACCCAGAACGTGACTTAATGATGTCACAGTGAGTCGAATGTGTTGATCCACTTTATTTCTTACAAGACTGCTCATGCACCCACAAAGCTTTGGTCCCAGACCTGTACTCATATTCCTACACTTACGCAGATTTAACCGAGGAAGTAGTGCTGTTGCCTCGTCAATTTGATGGGGGTGTTCTGGAAAAACACTAACCCACAAAAGCGTATTGTTCAGAAAGTAGTCGGATTTTAGTTGACAGTAAGTGAATTAGGTGGTCGAAGTAAGTAAATTATTGGGGTTATTTGTGCGGCCATCTTTCGGGTAAGTGACACAATCAAATCTATTCTAGATTTGAAGCTTTCGTGACTGCAAGGATCCATACTCTTTGGTAACAATCATATCTATCAAAAATGGATCGTCAGGCGATTCAATGAAATCATGTATTTTCTACTGAAATTTAATGTGGGTTATCCCAAGTATTCCAGAACATTCCTAATTTATATAACTCGCCACACATATAAGCCCAGCCGTTTGGTTTGTTCCGATCGCCATTGCGTGTTCATGTTGGTTCACATGAGCAGCCAAGCGGCCTCATTGTGTTATGACTACCAAGGGCAGACAAAGCACCATGTCCTCATTTCTGGCTTCCCATCACTGTTGTGGAGTTGGAGTGGATCAAACAGGGCTCTGTTGTCTTCGTGTTGCTGATGCCAAGTGGATATTTGCACATTAGAGCAAAGCCAAGGAAACCGCATTGCAACCACCGACGCCATGCAGATATGCCCTTCGACCGTCTTAATTTTATTTCCGGATGATTTTTAATATTTGTTTTTACGCGTATTGTACTAAGAATGTGAAGTGTACCGTGATAAGATCTTGCAGAATTTAAATCGCCCAAGGTTTGTCATCACAACGTGCGCCTGTCCTGCAGTAACTGAGGTTTGGCTTGCTAACAATAAAAGCAGTTGAACTTAATGAGGCCAACGTATTTTTGTGTGCAGCGAATGGCACAGAGTCCTGCTTGTTGTCAATTGTACCGTTTCCTTTAGCAGAGATTGGTGTTGAACAGCAAAAATGGCTTCACAACTGGTAAATGTGCTGCGTCTTAATAGATCCATGTACTTTCATAAATACCGTTTACAGTTAAGCTCATTCTATGTTCCTTTATGGGCGTTCTCATTCACTTATGGCCCATTTTAAATTGGTAATTTTTAATGATTATCCCTCGGTTAACATTTCAAACTACTGAATCGTAAAACAACTACCTTTTGCGACAAAACAAATGTAGTACCAATAACATTTAAGATGGTTAAAACGCGATCAGAGAGCATACAACCGTGCCGCAGACTTTGTCAAACACTCTTAACATAAATTTAGATTTTATTTTATTATGTTTATTTTATTATTTCCCTTCTACGTGACTTTACCGAAAGAACCATGAAGATGACTCTTAACATACTTTGAGCGACAGACTGACTCATACTCGTTGAGTGCTTACCACTTTCAATCCGCCATCAGGTAAATTCTAACAATATAATAATTTACAATTGCTTTCTGTGCACTTGTATTATTTAGTAATGCATTTGAATAAATGCACACATGCTAATTAAATAGCACCCGTAACTGAGCGTTTTTACAGTTGGCAGTAACGTTGCAATAAAATTTATATTTGGAGATGAGTAATCTCTCGCACAGTCTCATCTCCACAGTAACGCCACATGCTCCCAATTCCTCGTTTAAAAACATCGCATGTTTTATTCAGTTTGCAATCATTACAATTACTGGAAATTTATATTTATTCCTTGATTACCGCATTACTTAAATGTTCGAAATCCAAACATCACCTTCAAGATAGCCCAAGTTGAATTGAGCAATTATCTCGGTTTCAGGTTTATTTTGTTTAATTCCCGAAAGTATATAGTCCATGGGCCCAAACAGAAATTGGTACAGTACCACCTTAGGTAGCAAAACCTTAGCAGTAGCGATGCATTTATATGAATGATAAAATTGGATTATTTGATAACCCCATTAATTTCAAGCAGCTATCACATTATTGACTTATTAGCCACGCGAAAAACTTGGAACCAGTATAGTTATGCCACCTCGAGTGATACCGATCAGTGAAATATCAGATATGGGCTCATGGACTATTGGCAGAGTTGAGGACACATTCGCTGGCTTTTTTCAATATTGCCAACCTGCCCACCAAACTGAACCCTCCATTTATCCTGGAAACCATAAACTGCCAGGGTAAGCTGTCCTCCCATTTCTTGGGCAGAGCCCACGCTGTAAAGCTGTGCCCCCGACTTTATGCCACTAACTAGGGAGGGACTCAATCCAACGTGTGATTCATTGAGGCAAGAACACGCAACTGCAGGGTTGGTGATCACGAAAATATTTAACGAAACTAAAACGTTTTTAATTCACCGGGCAAGGGCCACTGAGTTGCATACTGTAGCTCTTTTTCAGAAGCGACCTAGCCACAAACGATAGCTCAACGAAGTGGCCAAATACTCTGAATTTGGAAGGAAAAAAACAGGACCAGGATAAAAATCCACGCCACCACGGGGAGAGAGACACAAACTCTCCAGGCGAAAGGGTCATGATCGGACCCACGACCTCCTGTATACCAGGCGAGGTAGTTAACATCTCGCCAACCCTGGTGGGTTGAGAACTGGAGTTGGTAAGCACTGCTGTACACATTCATCGCCTTCTGTCATGCTCTATCAACTGCAGGACGAAGATATTCCCAGGTCGTCGCTTTTCCCCAGGCTGAATCAACCAATGCCTTTTATTTTACACTCGGACACGGAGACCAACACATGGATGAGTGAACAAGCACAAAAAGTTGGCATGGGCAAGAAACATCACAGTAAGAAGGGCCTGGGATCGATTCCCGCATTTCTGTGTGCAATATGTATGTCTTGTTCTGCTTGGGTTTACTTTGGCTCCTTCGGTTTCCCTCCTATAACGAGTACTACTAATGGTCAAACATCCCAATGCCAAATTTTAAAAATAAAAAATATATACACGCACAGTATCTGCAAATAACACGTAGCAATATCGCCTCCTACTGTGAAAACTTTTATTTCACAAAACTCACAAAATAACTTTAATTATAAAAGCCCAGCGTTCCGAACGCTTATTCGTCAACTCAATTAGGCGCCTGGAATTAAAAAAAAGTTATCGAAAGTGGACCCCCCCCCCCCAAACCCCACAGATGTGAGGGTAACAAGTTGATCCAATAGGTTCACAACAAATTGTCGATCCCCCCCCCCAAAAAAAACCCTAAATGTATTTTGTAGGCGTATATACATACACACCCTACATACAAGTCAGTAGTATGAGGTCATCCATTTAGTTGGTAGCAAAAATCTGTCAAAACTTGACCCCCCCCCCCCCCACTTGTGTACGTTAGCCTGACCCCCCCCCCCCCCCACACCGAATCCTATAGAACGGCCGATATTTAATCCCCGCAGAAACGATCAAGGGTTAATAATATTAACGTGTTTAAGCAAACAGATAGTCCACCGCCCGACTATCTAACTCATTTGAAGGCCAATGTAGACAAATTATTATCGAGGCTTCACCCCCCCCCCGTTCCCTATGCGGACATTGTCAGTAGACCCCCCCCCCCCCATACACAGGCTACGCATTTGGGTGAACCCCCCTCCATGCGTACGTACTAAATGGATTGCCCCTATCGACACATAAGTCAGTAGTATCTACATTTCTGCTTAGGGGCCGTCCATAAATGACGTCACGCACCTAGGGAGGGGGTCAGACATTTGTGACGATGTGTGACGAGGCGGGGCGGGGGGTGAGAAATGTGACGTCATATCAAAATGCGCAACTTTAAATAAATGTAGACAACACGTTCTACTTAATTAAATAGACTTTTTACATAAATGTTTTCTCCTACAACATCAGTGTAGCGCCACATTAAATACGCGCTAGAATGACAATAGTTTAAAGCGATTTGAAGCATGTTTTATTTTCGAAATGAAAATATGGTTTTGGGGGGAGGGGGCAGAGCTTTGTGACGTCATATTTGAGGGGGGAGGGGGTCTGACTTTTTGAGGCGCCGTGTGACGAGGGGAGGGGGTCCAAAATCGTCCAAAATCGTGTGACGTCATTTATGAACGGCCCCTTATACACCCTACATACTCTCGTCAGTAGTATCTCCAGATATGCTTCATACCCTACATATATCTTAACCTAAAGCTTTTAATATTAATGTTATTTGGGTCTTTCGGTAAAGTCACGTAGATAGGTTCAATTTAATAAATAAAAAATAACAGAGAAATACGACGTTTCGATCTTCATTTTCCTGATGACGACCGCTTGTGTTGCGATCGAAACGTCGTTTTTTGTTATTTTCTTCGAACGTATCTACGTGACTTTACTGAGAGACCCAAAGAACACCCTACATGCACTACTAAGGCAGTAGTATTTGCATCTATACCTACACACCCTACATACTGAGTTAGTAGTTTCTACTGACTCTATATATTACACATAATACAGGTGTTTGAGGTCAGATCGCGTAAATATATAAGTGTGTCGTTAAACCCGCCACCACCCGACACAGCCAATTTATTCAGGTTTGTCACGTAAACAGACCTTCCCACATTGACATGCTAATCTCTCACATTTCAATTAACGTACAAATTCCTTCTCTAGCTCGGCCCACTTACCCTTGGGTTGAGCCCACCAAAATCCGATATAAGCTCTTGTTGTTAGCAGATCTTTCTCCTATGTCAGCAGTTCTCCTGCTGTATCTGTTCCACCTGATGACGGTCGCTTGTGTTGCGATCGAAACGTCGTGATTTACTTTATTTTATGTTATACCTACCACGTGACCTTACCGAAAGAACCAAAGCGTATGGACCCCTGCAGTGACGAAAAACTTCAAATCTAGATTAAAGGACGTATAAGTGGGAGACGTAATCATCACTGTGCGTTCACGGCCACGGAGTTCCTGGCTTTGACGTTCCTCCTAAACGACAGTGGTGTTCACCATCGAACGCATGTCATCAGTACATGAAGGAGAGGCCGATGCGCATATCTACTTGACAATCGGATCACTCAAGACAAACCACAGAGGGGTGCGACTGTACCCAAGCAACCCCAACTATGGACCATATCAAATTTTGACTTAAAACTTTCGTGACTGCAGGAATTCATATTCTGTGGTTATTTCGGTAAAGCCACGTAGATAGAAAAAATAATAACAAAAAAATTATACAAAATATATTTTTTTGTAAAAAATATGTAAAAAATATCACGACGTTTCGATCGCAACACAAGCAATCGTAATATTTTTTTATTAACTTTATTTGCATTTTTATTATGTAATTGTTATTATTTTTTCTATCTACGTGACTTTACCGAAAGAACCATAGAATATGGACCATATTGTAATGCTATAGACACAGAGACTGTCACATATAGAGATAAATTAGCACTTTAGTGCGGTTGTGGCAATGCAATTCAAACTATGGATGAGTCTGCACTCCTTCAACGGAGGAACAGCAACGCCTCACCAAGTCTCTGTCTGTGTCTCTGTGTCTCCCCTGTAAGGCCCTCTCGTGGTGACCAGCAGACTGTTCTCTACATTGGCATCTCACTCCTCATCACTTTGCTGCTGCCACCACTACAACACCACGACTACTACCACTACAACACTACAACACCACTACCACTACAACACTACAACTACACCAACACTACAACACCACTACAACACTACTACTACACCAACACCACTAGAACACTACTACTACAACACTACAACACCACTACAACACTACTACCACAACACTACAACACTACCACTACAACACTACTAAAACACCAACACGATAACACCAATACCACTACAACACTACTACTACACCAACACCACTACAACACTACTACTACAACTCTACAACACCACTACCACTACAACACTACTACTACGCCAACACCAC